CAGAGATCGATTGTGTGAGCAGAACGACAGGGATTGCAGAGCCTCTCCCCAAAGGCTCCCACATAAATGCCTGCTCCAGGAAACGGCTTCAATGAAAGGTAAAGGCTCACAGGACAGCTCATGACTAATGTTTAACCTAGTCACTGAGCCCTCGGGAAGGGTCCTCGGTTATATAACCCAGGGCAGAGCCTCAGAAGGCAGAAGGGGGTGGGGGAAGCAGCCTCTATACGGAAACATTCAGTCTGGACCTGATCCGCTTTCACTGTCCTCCATGCTTGCTAGAAAACCTGATCACTTCCACAAGAGCAATGCTCCCAGGAGGTCTAACCAGAGTATCTGCCCACATGTGCCTGACAGGAAGGCTGCTCCTCCTGCATTGACACCTATGTGACCTGAAAGAACAGAAGCTGCCAGGCTCCTGTTAGGAAAAAATACAGTTGGTAGAGTGTGGGGGTTGAGTCCAAAATCGTAGACAGGCTGTGCATGCCCTGTGTAGTCAACCCCGGCAAAGGGCTTCCTACTGAGACGGGCACAGCCGTCTCTGCCAGGGCCTAGCGGGGCTGGTTCTGCGAAGGGCACTAAAGACATCATGTTGTATGGCTGGAGAGATGGCTCAGCAGTTAAGAGCACTCGCTGCTCTTGCTTACAGAGGATCCGGGTTCAGCCCCACCCACCCACCTACCCACAGGTGGCTTACCATGATCTATAATTGAACTAATGTATTCTGAACCCCGTGGGCAACAGGCACATAGGCATGTACATATATGCTGGCAGACCACTCAGACACACAACAAAAACTGAAAGAACAGAAAAGAAAGGGACCCTACTGTAGCTCAGCTGATACTGAAACAGAATCTGTGGCCAGCAAGACACAAACGCACTTTGATTTCATGCTTCAAAAATAGCTTACCCAGAGCACGACTCACAGTTTTGGTGCAGGGGTTAGATCTTGGACCACTCGGGCTCCTCCTTTGAAAAGCAGTATCTATGTGAATTCAACCAATCAAGTGTATGTAAGTGGCTAATACCAAAACAGAAGGAAATGCAAGATCCTAAAATACAGATTTACTAACTCAACCTCCCCACCGTGACAGCAGTTGTTTGGTCTTAGCCGGGGATAGATTCAAAATGCAGGAATTCATGGAGGCATTCCACCGAGAATTATCTAGAGAGTTGTGATAACAAGGCCCAGTGAGTAATTTTTATTTCACTTTTATGATAAAGAATAGAATTTCTTATACCAAAGGTCATTTGATCTGCTGGAGCCTGGAATCCTCGCTACCCCAGGCTCCATAAATGATATTCTGTACTATACTCTGGCTTAATGCCCTCCACACTTTATTGCTTACCTAAGAGTTTCAGGAGCTTCGAGGGAGATGAAGACAAAAGGTGTGAAAACAGAGGCACCCCTCGTGCTGCTGATTGATGACATTGGTATCCAAAATAGCTAAACCCTCTTGAAGGTCAGCTATAATGGGGGTTTCCCCCCAAATCAGCACCTTGTTTTACACGGTACTTAAAGGTTTTCTTTTCTTATGCAGAATCTCATGTAGCCCGGGCTGAAAACTCCCCTTCAACCTTACATTCTCTTGCCGTGCCTCCCGAGTAGAGATCACAGGCATGTACCAGGACACCTGAGTTATGTGGCGCTGGGAACGGAGCCCAGGGGTCAGGCCCAGGGGCTTGTAAATGCTGGGTTGCCGTTCTACCCACTTCCATTCTTCACGCGCCTAGTCTATTAGCAGAGTCCTCCTTCCTCTAGATAAGCTGTCTTACTGGTCAGCCTCTAAATCATTAACCAAAAAAACACAAGCATAGGTCCCTGCTCAGGCATTTGGCACTTGAGCTTGCAGAGGAGCGGGCTCCGTTTACCTCGGCACCCAGCGCTGCTCCTCAGGAGACTACGCCGAGCTCTGCATGACCACCCAGCCTGCCCTTTGCTCATGCCACGCGCTCTGCCTTCCCCGATGATGCTGACTACTTATTCACAAGGAGGTGCTGACTAAACATTTTTTTCCACATGAATGAATTCCAGGCCTCCCCAGATCCAAGCCAACATTCCCATCCTTGCATGACTAACACACTCTGTCCGTATCACGCCATCTTTAAGCACCCTTTTCATGTTCATCAAGGCATATTTAGCACCTAGGAGGCAGGTGTCAGGTTCAACCCAGATCAGGCAAGACACTGCCCTGCCTCTAGAGAAGCCAGAATCCAGCGGACAGAGTTACAAAACGCAGCTACTAGCACTGACACAGCTGCTAAGATAGTTAAATTGTGCTATCTTTCCATTAAACGTGCACAGTCCTTCCTAGGCCGCACACTATTTATGAGTACGGAATTAGACCCAATGAGGTTTTTCATGGGGCAGGGGAGGGTTCCAGAATGGAGGCTAAGCTGGTTTCACCTGTCCAGGTATGCAGAGCGTAGATTCTAATGTGAGGTCTGGGTTCCCTCCCCAGCCCCAAGGAGAACACTGTGCTGTGGATCAACACAGAATGGCAGGAGGAAGACCCATCCAAGGCAGAGGAGCGCACATTATCTTCATGGAACAGTGAATGGCTCAGAATCACCTCAACGTATATACAGGATGAGAGAAAGGAAATGGGTCAGTTAGACAGTGAATCACCTTGGAGTCAGGCCTGAAGATTACAGATGACGTTTTGGCTGTTTCTGTCAGAGTGGGCGCCAGAGCTCCCTGTGGTATCTTCAAGCTACGCAAGTATGCTGTACGGCTAGTGGGGATTCCATGAGCTACTCCTGGTTTTTGTTCGTTTTTCTGTTTTGTTTTGTTTTTTTACTTTTGTGTTCCCATGGCTCCACCCAGCTCCATAAATATAGTATTTGTTTCAAACCTAGAGCAGCTATGAAGTAGGCAGGATCCTTCCCACTGCTCACCTCTTGCCACTGCCAGGCCTCCTACAGTCTCTGCAATCACAGACATCACAAAGGGAACCAAAGACCATCGTGACTTGGCATGTAAGATTCGTAAGCATTTAACCTTCCCAACAGTGAGACCCGAGTCCCTCCTTGTGTGAGAAAGAAACAGGCTCCGAGAGTACCTCGCACACTGAACTTACTAGGAGGCCTACCAGGCAAGGAGATTAAGCAGAGCTGGGTGAGCCAGGCATGGTGGCGCACACCTGTAATCCCAGCACTCGGGAGGCAGAGGCAGGTGGATCTCTGAGTTTAAGGCCAGCCTGGTCTACAAAGCAAGTCCAGGACAGCCAAGGCTACACAGGGAAAACCTGTCTCTAAAAACCAGAAAAAAAAAAAGTTTAGCAGTCTCTCCGGAAGGATCAAGGAAAGGAGTGGCTGAGAGCTTGAAGGGAAATTGCCTGTCTCCCATCTTCCTACTCTCACCCATCTTCCATGTGAAAATATGAGTTATTTAATCAAGATGTGAGCAGAGAAGTCCATTTCTACATTCGGACAAGCTGATGGAGTATCCGAGTTCCTCAGCCTCCTGTCCCAAGGAGTAGCTGTTGAAAACAAGCCATGTCCCAGCTCCTTTCCCTCCACACCAAATTCCATCCACCTGAACATCGAGGCACCTATTCTGAGCCAGGCACGGAGACCTGGGAACTTGGCAAGAAGCTTGAAACTTAACAGCTGACAAGATGAACGAGGATTCCTGGTAACACGTGCTATGGAGGGATAAGAGGTGGTGATGGGATGGAGGGAAGCTTGATTTAGGAAGTCCTCCTTGAAGGGAAACATCTCCGTTAATCCTCAAGTCAAAAGAAGCCCAGATCCACCTGATGTGAAAGGGCTCTAGTGGACATCTCAGCTCCCTTTAGTTGTAGGCGAGAGACTAGAGGCTCGACGACATGGAAAGACTGACACAAGGTCTCCTGCTAACTTTGTGGATGCTGCTCCTGACTGCTACTCTGTGGCACGTTTGGATTCACTCATTTGAAGAGCAAGCATCTTAGATCTGTACTTTCAGTTCCCTTAGACACATTCCCGTTTATAATTTCACTTCCAGAACAAGCTCTGGGAAATGATGTCTGGCTTTCCTTCGACAAATAACAAAATTGAGCTAAGGAACATATCTTGTCATAAATGATTCGAGACCTCACTTGGGCACTGGTTGCCCAGACCCGTGCCCTCTCCTTGGGGTGCCCAGCAGCTGCCTACCAAGTGGTCTACAAACACAGCAGCAGCAGCAAGCTCACAAGGCAGAGACCTTAACAGAATCAAAGATGAGAACAGTTTGCTCAGCCATAGCACACAAATCCAACGCCGCTGAGTTGTGTGAACATTGAAAGAATGCATGTCTCTATGTGTGACAGAGGCAGGAGGATGCTTTCTGCACCAAAGCTGCCCTGAGAGTCTTCATACCCGTAAACAACCCAGGCCAGGAGTCTGCAGAACTGACGGGCCCTTAGGTCCCGGTCCCAGGGAAATGAGCTCTTCCCAAACATGCCTACACATAGAACCACCTGGGGAAAAACTTCAGAGTAACGGGCATTTCAGCTTCACACATGACAGAGGTCGAGAGACGCCCCCCACTCCACCAGCCCAAGAATCCACGGCTTTCCTCCTGGTTAAGTCTGAGGAGGTGGAGAGGAGCCATTTGTTCTACTAGCCAGTGGGAAGTTAGGTTAGGCTGTATGTTTTAGGGGCTGGCTGCCTTTGGAAGAATCTCCCCCGAAATGCTTGGGTAGTAAGGTCTCCGGAGAAACTTCCTGGTGGCCTGTGAGGTCTGTGACCTCTCTCTTTCCATACAACACCCCCGCACCTCTCCTGCCCCATCTCTGATCCCTGGAGGGAAGCCAGCAGCTCATCAAGGCCTTCATGAAGCAGAGCCCACCCATCTCCAGCAGAATGACTGCAGAACCTCTGGAAGACAGTCCTCACCACCCTTAGCTGCCCCTCCTGCCACTACCAAAGGCCTCTCCCCTCCCCCAAACTCCCAGCCACTTGCTAGAAGAAAAGAAAAGAAAAGGGAAAGAGTGGTTCCTGCCCAGGTAGCAATCACAGAAGCCATTCCGTACCTACAGGAGAAGGATCCACTCAGCCACCGGGAGTTCTCCCTGCTGTGAACACCGCTAGTCTTAGAACTCACTGGACTTTGAACAAAGATTGATTTAAAAGCTGATGTATTTAACAGGGACTTGTGGTCTGAGTTCAAGTGACCTCTGTCCTGCTCCCTACTAGGTGGCACGGTCCTGAGCTAGAAACCTTCAAGGGCCCTCAGCAAAAACAAGCCCAGCCCCAGCCTGGCCTAACAATGTGGGAATGGGAGGGCTTTTTGGGGGGGGGGGGGGAGAACAGCGGCTGGAGAGGCAGCGCCTAAGCCTTTCCAGTTCTGTCCAATGAACAGAAGATTGGGTCACACCCAACCAATCCCCAATCCCAGTAGGAGCCTCCCTAGCCAGGCTCTGGCTGAGCTAACCTCCAGCCATCTTACACACTCAGGCAGCCCTGAAAGCAACTCCTACCCAGAAAGCCACCAAGAGGCTAACAAAGCCCCCTTGTCGAGTCCTACCTCCCCCTGCCACGGGAGCTCTCACTTGCCAGCTCGCGGGGTCAGCAGCACAGAAGTCCTTGCTTCCTTAGTGCTGCCTCCCCTCTCCGGATGGCTGCCTCTGCTCTCCAACCTGCCCTCCTCCCCACACACTCTGCGGTCTCTCCAGACGCCAGCTGGCCAGTGGAAGGCATTTTCAGAAGGCCCTCTGTGGCCAGCTGATCTCTATCAGCCACACCCACACAAACCATCCTCACCTGGATTCAGCCCACACTCCTAATCCAGGGCAGGAGTCTTTCCCACAGTTGTGAGAGGAGGCAAGCCCCAGGCTGTGCCGACTGGGTGACCTCATCTTCCACTCAGGAAGAGTCCGCCATTTGTCTTCCCTGGGTCCTGGCTTATGCCCTCAACCCAGGTGTGACCTAAGCCCGGGGTTAAGAAGTTTTAACTGATGTCAGAGCTGCCCCATTACAGCTGACTGCCTTCCATCTTTAGGCTGTATGCTCTTGGCCTCTTGTATAACTTTCACAGCATCAGAGTAGACTGGGCCACTACAGAGAAGACCTGAGTTCAGATTCTGTCTTTCAATTTCCAGATGTTTGATATGGGCAGATTATCTTTCTTACAGCACTATGGGTGAAACACAGGGCCTGCCCCCACACGCTAACAATATAAAATGTTAGTATGGAACCTGTAAGTGAGTCTGAGCTGAGCAATCTCCTCCACTGAGTGTAGAGACCTACTGGGAGGTTTCTCTCTTATGTGCCCCGTGTGAGCTTGCGTTCATTACTCTCTTCAGCCCTCTTCTTGTGACCCCACATTCATCTTCTAGATAAGAAAGCTTAGATCATCTCCTTAATCACCCTGACAAGGATCACCTGACCAGGAGGACAGAGGACCCAGCCTTGGACTCCGCCCCTGTCTTCTTAGATGAGTTTACAGCTGTGATAAGGTCTGCTGCTGTCTGGAATAGCTTGTGTTTCTTCAGCCTCCTCTGCCTTCTCCAGGTGTATTTGAGCAGGGGCTAGTGAGCTCCTGGGGCTCATCATCTCAAAGCTGATGAGCTTTGAGCTCTTCTAGAAGGTGTTCTCCGTTGTTAGGGAGACAGGGTTGGGATTCCCTGAGTTACTTCCAACACCAAGATTCAGTGATCCTAAATTTGCTGGGTTTTAACACACATACACACACACACACACACACACACACACACACCCCTTTGAGGGTGAGCAGTGGAAGGTCTGGTTTGTAGAGTCCTACAGATAGAGAGCTGTGAGCACAGGCTGTAACCTGGAGCGTGGGAGGTGATTTGCTTCTCAAAGTGGAACAGAAAACTGAAGGCCTTATTCTGCTGGCCTAAAGCTCTTCCCAAGAGCCATGGCTCAGCCCTGGCAAGCATCAAAATGATTCCTAACGACATCGTTAATGGCTTCTTTAGTTTGTTTGTTTGTTCAGTTCAGGTTGGGGGCTTCACCTTTGGTTAGGCAGCACCTGGGAAAGTAAAGAAATGCTTAACAACCTACTTCTGTGTGTTAATTGCTTACCTTGGTGTTTTCATTAAGGAGAGAATGCATGACAGCCACGGCTGAGCCCCAGCACCTCTACTCTCCACCCATCATCCAAGCTGCGTCTGTGACTAGGAATTTGCCAAAGAAATTTCTTTTTCTTCCCAGAATCTGAGCCAAGATGGCCACTTTCTTGTTGCCTTATTGATCTCTTTGTTCGTGCTCCATTTTGTCTATAAACTCTCCATGTTTCGGCACACACATTGTGTCGTTCTTTCCTTCTCCTACCAGAATACATTTCCTCGAGGACAGACGTTTGTATTTTCTTTTAGGTTTATTTTATTTAAGTTTTGCCTGCGATATGTCTGCACACCACATGTGTACCTGATGTTCAGGGTGTCCAGAAGAAGGCAGCGGGTCCCCTGGAACAGGAGTTAGAGATGGTTGTAAGCTGCCATCTGGGTTCTGGGAATCAAACTTGGGTCCTCTGGAAGAGCAACCAGTGCTCCTAACTGTTCAGCCATCTCTCCAGCTCCTAAGGTTTATAGTATTCTCACTGTGTCTTAAATGCCTAGAATGTAAGCCTACCATGTACTGCGTATCAAGTGTGAGTGAAGCACTGAATCAATCTTACCAGTGACCTTGGCTTATCCCCCTCACACTCGCTGTGTAACCCTGAGGCCTCAGTTCTCTACAGCATCGGGCTTCAGGTCTCAGCTCCCTAGAGTCACTGCTTCTCATCTTTCTCTTCATTTGTGGAATCTATAGAGTTTTGTTTTTCTCGAAGTTCTATTATCAATTTGGAAAAAAAATTTTGATTATTTTCTCCAGTATTTTCTATGAACTTAACAAGGGAAGGTCTTCAAGTCTATTCTAGAATAAAAATGATCTTATCACTTCAGAGTTACTCCTCCTCCTTAAAGATCCAGCTTTTTCATCTGCAAAAAATGGATAATATTGATAAGCACTGATCCCTGCTCAGAAGGTTAAGAAGACTCAAGATTTTATTCTTCCTTTCTATGTGATGTGTGTGTGCAAGTCTGTGTGTGGGTTTGTGCAGTACCCAGAGGACAGAAGAGTGCATTGGCGCTCCTAGAGCTGGAGTTACATGCGCTTGTAAGCACCCCTGGGGGAGCTAGGAACAAACTCCAGTCTCCCACAGAAGCACTGCATGCTCCTGAGAGCCGAGCCATCTCTCCAGCTTCCAGAAGACCCATGTAGCCGTCCAGACATTCAGATCGAGAAAATGTTCAGTGAATAACATTACCTCACGGTTACAAGAATCAGCTCTCTTCTAAGCACACAGTGTACCAACATGAAAATGAGTGAGCAGGCGGTGTGTGTGTGTGTGTGTGTGTGTGTGTGTGTGTGTGTGTGTGCCTTAAAACCCAGCAAGTTTAGGATCACTGAATCTTGGAGCTGAAAGCAACCCAGGAAATCCCAACTCTGTCTCCTGACAATGGAGAACAGCTTCTAGAATAGCTCATAGCTCATCATCCTGGTGAGCCAGGGTTTTCAGGTGTTTGGGGCACTGTGAATGACATTCTGCCCGATGGCGATGAGGTGTCCTACGCAACTGGTCAGAAGCAGAAAAGTAAATCCTACCATTTCCTAATACTTTCGTCACCGAGTCTCAGGTGGAGGTTGGCAACAGCCGAGCAGGCCATTAGGGTGGGCGAGTGAGGCTTCTCCCGTCTGGAGCAACTCGCCTGGGGCCAGATCTCCTGATGTTGTCCAGACACTCAGAAGCTGGAGGGATCCATATTCTAGCATCCTTTCAAAACTATAGAATATCATTGGGCTGGAAGTCCCTGAATAATGGAAAGATGTCAGTTCTCTCCAAACCTATCAGATAGATGACAGACAGACAGACATTGGTATTTTCACTGAAATTTCCCTCATTTTTAGTTGAACCTGGACAAGCTAGCTTTAAAAATCAAAAGGAGCATAAGGAAGGAAGCCAGTGAGATGGCTCCGCTAGTAAAGGCAGCTGCCCTTCAAGCCTGATGGCCAGAGTTCCAACTCCTTAAAGAGAGAGGTGGAAGGAGAGAGCCAACTCCAGGGTCCTCTGACCTCCGTGAGCATGCGTGGCACACACACATGCACGCTCGAGTGCAAATGTGCACACAGTTGTTTTTCAATGTCAACTAAGGAAGGAGTTTCGGTGTCAAAGCTATGCCCTGGGAGCGTTTACTACAATATGGCTTTGGGATCAGACAGGCAAATGAGTCAATGGAGTATGTTAGAAAGCCCCAAAAACCAACCTACACATATCCATATAGATTCTTGACCAAAAAAAAAAAAAAAATTGTCAAAAAAGCTAGCTAGGCTTTTTTCACACAAAAGTGTGTGTTTTATTTCTTTTGATCAAATACTGGTGAGATTCAGCCATGTCGATATGCATACTTTGCTTTCCTTTTAATATTAATATTTAATGATATTATAACCATCTATTTACATAGTATCTGAATACAGGGCAGCATATTGTGGGCTAACGAGTGGTTAGGATGCTCAGCTGATTTCTGGGATTCGGCTGAGATTCAGGCTCCTTAGCTGTGTGGTGATTTCCTGGCTGATGATTGCTTCTCTTCTCTGAATATGTATGTGACATGAGGTTAGGAAAGAGGTTTATGGAGTTGTTTTGTCCTTTTGTTGTTGTTGTTTGAGACAGTCTCTCTCTCTGTAGACCAGAGAGAGAACTCACAGAGCCTTGAACTCACAGAGATCTGCCTGCCTTTGCCTTCTGACTACAGGGATTAAAGCTGTGTGCCATCATGCCTTATAAGAAAATATGATTTTTGTTTTGTTACTCAAGACAGGGTTTCCCTGTGTAGCCTTGACTGTCCTGGACTGGCTTTGAAGACCAGGTTGGCCTCAACCTCACAGGGCCTGCCTCCTTCCTCCTGAGTGCTGGGATTAAAGGTGTGTGCCATGATGCCCGGCAAAAAGATGATTTTTTAAAAATATTTATTTTGTTATTTTTAATTATGTGTATGTGTGTGCATGTGTAGGTTTGTATATATGAGTGAAGGTGCTTGAGGAGACCAGAAGAAGGTGTTGAATCCCTGGAGCTGGAATTACAGATGAAGAGTTTAA